AAAGTATTTGGAAACTTACTTGAACTTACACTGGGCAAATGTTATTTACTATAGTCCAAATGAAGTTAAACTCATAGCAGAAGGATTTGATTCAGAAAACGGGATCAGTATTTCACCTGATTTGTCTTATTTCCATTTCAATAACAAATACCATGGACTGTATTTACAGATTGAAGTTCTATGTTATTTTTCCTTTCAGACCTATTGAAAAATAATTTAATAATACCATGATTGTTGGAGCACTGCTGAATTGATTTTGAAAGTTTACTTTTTTAAGTAAAAATTGACCTTTATCAAGAATTCCTTGAGGGCACATCATTGATTAATTTCTTGACAGGTTATTAAGATGTATTTTCACTGTATTAATTAAGTTTTATATTGACAGGAAACTCTAACCATTATATCTTTTCTGTAAAGGTACATCTATGTTGCTGATACATTGGCTCATGAAATTCATGTTTTGGAAAAACAGCCTTCTATGAATTTAACTCAGTTAAAGGTAAATATTTATCTTTGTGTATAGATATGAATCAAGTACACATTGCAGTTACATAGTTGTTTCTTCTGAGACAATGACACATTTAGAGCAGAACCCGGATGCCAGTGTAGCACTTCTGTGTTTTAAATTATTCCTTCCTTCCAACATGAGGGGTCTCCTGTTCTCAGTGATCATGAGGGCAGAATGTGATTACATGCAATAGCAGGTTGAGTGATACTTGTATCAGATGTAGGGCTCATTCCATGAAGTATTGATGGCATCCTATGAATTCCAATAAGATTTTTACTATTGAAAAGACTAATAGATGAATTCTCAAATGAAGATTTATGCATGTTGTCAGTCCTTTCAATAATAAATGAAGGTAGGAATTGGGTTCCACACCATTATTGTTTGCTTCACCCTCCACAACACATATTTTAAGTTGATTAATAATTTCCTACCTTGCTTTGATGTAGTTCCTTGAGCTAACTGATCATTGTGCCTTTTTTAAGGAAAAAAAAGAATTAATTTCTTTTTTGAGAAATTGATGATCACCTCTAATTCCTGTACTTTCAGAGAAGATGAAAAGTGACTTCTAACCAGTTTATTAAATGTATTTTAAGAAATAGGGTGGGAGGAACAGAACATGAACAGAAGCAAGAAAGGTTGGCTGTAAATGCTTTAATCAAATTTCTCCTGTGATTTAGATATTGACACTTTCTCATTTGTAAGGTTCTGCAGTTGGACACACTGGTGGATAATTTATCTGTTGATCCTTCCTCGGGGGACATCTGGGTAGGCTGTCATCCGAATGGCCAGAAGCTCTTCGTCTATGACCCGAACAACCCTCCCTCATCAGAGGTTTTTACATTTGCAGTCTTTCAACTTTAATTAGTCAAGTCCTTTTGAACTACTAATACAATCAACTGTCACCAGGATGATTTGTTAGTTATAATACTGTAAACTTGTGTGGGGAGATTTGTAATTGCTTTAAGCCAATAATTGGCAGGAAGGGACATTGTTGAAGTGCTTTTTAAAAACTAATCTTTTGATGTATTAAATTATGGTGGAAGCTAGTCAAAAGGCATTTTATAAAGACACATGCCCTTCTTGTGTGGTATACTGGCAATTTTTTTAAATATCTGGTTTATTGTCGACTCACCACATGACAGGATTTTTGTTCATGTTGAAATGGTGTGAAAGTAGGCACATTAGTGTGAACCTATTTCTATCACTGCTGAATTGCTGTAATAACACTAAATCCTGTGTTGGCATGGCATAACGAGATGGTTTTAAAAAGCACTTTCTTTGAAGGTTGGGAAAAGTACTTTAATTTAAGCATTAAGAAGATTGGATAGTGCTGTTTCTACCAGCATGTCCCCTTAATCACTGTGTCATTGTGGAAAACAGGGGTTTACTGATTGAGTGTCATGGGTGGATGCTGTTTCTATACTAATACTCTGTGTCTCCTGGCAGGTTCTTCGCATCCAGAACATTCTATCTGAGAAGCCTACAGTGACCACAGTGTATGCCAACAACGGATCTGTCCTCCAGGGAAGTTCTGTGGCAACAGAATATGATGGGAAGTTGCTCATAGGCACTTTATACCACAGGGCCTTGTATTGTGAACTCTAAATTGTATTTTTGGTGTATAAATGTGACAGTTTTTTCCTAACACCTAATTTGCTACATACATATTGCTATTCTGTGGGAATTTAGTCAGCAATATTGACCTAGAAATGGATGGCAAATAGAATAACTTTGATTTCAAAGTCAGAAAGGCCCCTTTAGTTCTTATAGCACTTTCACATAAAGGGAGATGAATATATATTTTCATGATGCTAAGCCCAAAAAAGAGAAAAAAGCGGCTTTCCCATAAGGTGAATACACTGCACAAAACAAGCCTCACTTTGTCCCTCCAGCAACAGAACATGGAAGAGAGGGAATTACGGTGTAAATGTGACCTCAGTTCCTACATTGTGACCACTGTGAGTGTTCAAAACTACTGACATGTAACATGTTTTGATGTTTTATACTTACATCTTAGTTTACTGTTAAAGAATTAGTTATATTAAAGACTAACTGAAATTCAAGTTTTGTTTGCGTTTCATTCACCAAGCATGTGTTCAAGGGGAGCAGGAAGGCTGCCCTGTCCTGTGGGGATTCTTTCAGATAGGCAGCTTGGTCAGATCTCCTATGGAAAGTTAAATGTACAGAATCCCTTTTTGGGGGCGGGAAGCGTTAAATGAACAACTAACTACCCAAATACTCAAATATTGGGGAGTGTTTCAGAGATTTGTTTCCTAAATGGATGTCCACCTTAGATGCCAAGGAGATTAAAGATAGTATCTGACCTGTCCATTGAACAGAACTGTAAATGGGAGCCTGAATAGATAGAGTCGGGTGTTTGAAGACCCATTGTTAAACAGCAGCAATGTAAGGTCTAGAGCCAAGAGGGCCTAAATCACAAAGAGAGTTTTTCACTCATGGGACCTCTAAAAAACCATCCTAATCCTTGGAAAGAGACTTCTATGTTTCTTCTTTCCATTGTAACTTATCAAAGCACATCACTTCTCATTCTTTTTTCTATTTTGTCATCATCATAATCATCATTGTTCAAATATTTGTAAATAATCCTAACAAATTCAATGATGCATGTACAGTATTACATTCAATATTTCTTTAATCCTAATTGCAGCCTTGAAGTAGGTACACAAATCACTTTAAAGATTGCATAGAAGTTTGAAGTTATCTACCTACTAAGAGGTGAGTATATCACTCTATTTCTGATGCCAGAGCTGATCCTATTAGCCACTAAATGAAACTACTGCCATAGAACTAATGAGTGTATCATAGTTTCATATATTGTCTTTTTGTTTAGATAGTTTTTTTAAGATTATAAGTTTGAAGTTTTATAAATAATTTAATGGCTGTTAAACATAATGAGAAAAGTAAAGTGAGGCTAATAAGGAATTGGCTTTAACTCTTAATTCTTTAAGAAAGATGTAAGTATAAAACATCAAAACATGTTACATATCAGTAGTTTTGGACACTCACAGTGGTCACATAGTACAGTCATTATTTCTATTTGTTTTTCTTTCTTCTAACTTTCCTTTCTCCCAAGATCATATCTTACATCCATCCATCAAATCAAATTTACTGAGACACTGTTAAGTGCAAAGTTCAATGAATGGTCCTGGTAGACTCAGTAATGAATAGAATGGGATCTTTCCCCACAAGGAGGCCATAATTTCAAGCAGAGGTTCAAATCTAATTGGGGTTCATCTTTACTGGCATGCCAAGTACAGCATTAAGAACTTCATATAAAGTGGGTGCAGAAAAGGAATCTGTGCCAGACACCAGTTGCTCATGCTTGTAATCCTAGCTACTGAGGAGGCTGTAATTTGAGGACTGCAGTTTGATGCTAGCATAGGAAGGAAGGTACATCAGACTTTTTAAAAAATCAATTCTTTGCTTTATTTTTTAAACTGATGATTTTTTTATTGCAAATGTGATATACAGAGTGGTTGCAGTTACATAAGTCAGGTAATGAGTACATTTCTTTTTGAACACTGTCAACTCTTCCCTCATTTTCTCCCAGTGTTCTCCCCTTCCAGCCCCCCTCCCCACAAGTTGTATAGTTCATTTTTATCACTGCTGCATTTGTTCACCCTTTGTCTCACCACTTCTGTGCTTTCCCTTACCCTCCCCAAATCAGATAAACTTACATAGAAGACAAAAAGTACAGAAATCAAAAGTAGCAACAAAAAGAGAAAAACAGACAAAGACGAAAAAGACACAAACAATAAAATAAAAAAAATCTCTTGTTTTCATTTATTGGAGTTCATTTAGATAAGCATCTTTTTTTTTTTTGTCGGTCATGGGGCTTGAACTCTGGGCTTGGGCGCTGTCTCTCAGCTCTTCAGCTCAAAGCAAATGCTCTACCGCTTGAGCCACAGCACCACTTCCGGTTTTCTAGTGGTTTATTGGAGATAAGAGTCTCACAGGCTTTCCTGCTCAGGCTGGATCAAGGATCACTTGATCCTCAGATCTCAGCCTCCTGAGTAGCTAGGATTACAGGCAGGAGCCACTGGTGCCCAGCTAGATAAGCATCATTTTATATGATAATATGCACATAGCTACTGAGCCTTTGTGAACCTCTCCTAAGAATATCCTCCTTCATGAGACTCTTCTCTCTTATTAACCATCAGAAAACTAAAGTGGGAGAGTGCTAGCCTTAAGCAAAAAGAGCTCAGGGATAGTGCCCAGGCCCAGAGTTCAAGCCCCACAACTGATTTAAAAAAGAAAGAAAGAAAGAAAGAAATCTGTAGCTTAAGAAAGTTGTGCTTAACATCATCTTATCTGGTCATATGTACATAGCTTTTGACCTTTTCTGCTTGTCCCAGACATACACTAGTGAGAGAAACCATGGGACTTATGTTTCTTTGGGCCTGGCTTACTTCACTAAATATAATTTTTTCTTAGTCTTTCCATTTCCTAACAAATGGGGTGATGTCATTCTTTCTGCTGGAAAGAATTCCATTGTGTATATATACCACATTTTCTTGATCCATTCATCTACTGAGGGGCATCTGGGTTGGTTCCATATCTTAGCTGTGGTACACAAGTGGTTTTTTCTTTCTTGCTATTGTTTCTAATGTATTTATAATGTACCATGTGATTATTTTGTTTCTTTGTATGCTCCTCCCCCATGGTATAACCCCTGTTTTCACTGTACTTGATGCCCTGCATCTTGTATATACACTTCTCTAATTTGGGGAGGGGAAGGGAAAAAACAAAATGCTTAAATAGGGATACAGATTGACCCATTATAACAATGAGATGTACAAGACACTATGTTGAAAAACGAACTTTACAATTTAGGTGGGGAGGAAGGGGAGGGGGGAGTATAGTTGTGGAGGTGGGAAGGGATGGTAGGGGAAAAACAAAAGGAGGAGGTAACAATGCTCTATAAGAAATGTACTCATTACCCTCCTCATGTAACTGTAACCCCTCTGTACAGTATTTTTACAATAAAAAGCATATTAAAGGAAAAGTTGTGCTTGTCAAAACTGTCTCTAAACATATGCCTGACTTCCAGACTGCATATTTTCCTGCCGCATATGCTTTAGGCCCTCAGATCTTAAGTCCTTGTCCTCCTTTTAAATAATCATGGAAAGTGTTCATCTCTTTATTTACATGCTTTGAAAAGTATTCATCTTAGAGGGAATAGTCCTATCTATACCCACAGCTTCAGATGCTGCAATATCTCCTTTACCCCTAGCTATAACACAGGCAGCTCAGAAGGCTCCACAGTACAGGATTTGGATCCAGGATGTTTGACTCTGCTACTTACCAAGTGTGTGACTTGGGGCAAATCCTACAACCATTTTGTAACTTTTTTTTCTCCCCTATGATATTGGAATAGTGTTACCTACCTCAGAGGTTGTTCTGAGAATTTAAAGTATTACTCTGAAGGTCTTCATAGGCTTCATTGTCTTATAATTGTGTATCTTATTGTAGGTATAAATGTGTATCTTATGTATCCTGTTGGTCAAGGACCACCTCCGTACCCCCTCTCTGTTTAGGTGCTGTTCTTGAGCTCTTTTGTTGAAAGCTAACATGCTACAACTTGAGCCACAGTGCCACTTCCTAGTGGTTAGTTGGAGATAAGAGTCTCATGGACTTACCTGCTCTGGGTTGGCTTTGAACTTTGATCCTCAGATCTCAGTCTCCTGACTAGCTAGGATCACAGGCTTGAGCCACCTGCAACCAGACCTTTCCTTCTCAATATCTTTAGGTCTAGACGAATCTTGATTTCTAACACACACACACACACACACAATCTCAAACCCAACAGGAAATTTTCCGCCACTGCTGGCAACTAAAAACATTGCATGGGAAGATGCAACTTTTCCCGAACCTTCTCTAGTCTTCCTTCATCCTTCCTTCATCGTCAGTGTCTCCCTTCCGCCTTGGCCTTTTTCAGAAAAACCCCAAGTGTGTTCCTCCTTGGACAGCCCTAGAAGAAAGTAGGAACAAGACATCTTTGGGAAGCCTAAGTTCCCAGGAAACTACTTTTCCCTTCCCTTTCTACTGGTCTTTCTATTTTCTCCCCCGGCCCTCTACTCTGTTGAGTTTTCTTTACCCTACCAACATGGGGACAGAAAGTGCCATTCACCATCCAATCTACACATGGAACTAGACCATGTTCAGAGCTTTGATGTAAAGCAGGAAGGCCCCGATGCCATGTCCTGTGCCTCAAATCCTGGAGAAGGGAGAGTTGAAGCTCTTTACCAATGTCTTCTTTCCACCTGAGTGTCTGGGCAGCAATTCAGTCCACCGCATGCATGGCTTGCCTGCCAGAAACCCCCCAGTTTCAGGCTGTGACTTTTTATTTGGAAGCTTCCCACCCTCCCCCACGTCCAGTCCCGATTGAGGAGCTGAGATTGAATGTCGTGGCTTTCAGAAGCAAACTGACACCACCTGTCACCACCTGCCAAGAAAACCTCAGACTTTCACCAGAGGCCCGGGCGGGGTAAGGGTGACCGTGAGGGATGAGGAGTGGGAGGGAGAGGAGGAGCCAGTCCGGAGCTCCAAGTTTCCCCACTGACCTTCGGCCCAGAAAGACGGCCTTGAACTTGGCGCGGAAAGGTCTCCTGGAACTCCGACCGCGAAGAAGGTGGCTTTCGAACTCGCCCGTTGAAAGTTTCCTAGAACACCCCCTTTTCCACCATCCCCGCCTCCTGCGCAAAATGTTATCCGTGAACCTGGCGCGGAGACGTAGCCTGGAACCTGGACTCCAGGCTGGGGCGCACGACCCCGCCGCCCCGCCGCCCCGCCCTGCACCCTCCCAGCTGCTCGCTGGCCGCAGGAGGCGCGGCCCGGCTCGGGCACCGCCCCGCGAGCCCAGACGGGAGGCTCCAGAGCCTGCCCCCCCCGCCAACCCGTGTACGTTATCTGTCTGCTTGTCATCACCGGGCACCCCAAGATCATGGGGAGACTAATGGCTCTGGCCCTACTAGGGGCCAGCTTGGCCTTCATCGGGGAGAGGATCTTATCCTTGAGGTGAGTGAGTGTCCTTCACAGCCGGCTTCCTTCTTTCCAGCAGGTCCCCAGGAGCGGCTTTGGGACAATCCCCTCCTAGTCAAAACATTCTCTGAGAATCCCCGATCTGGGAAGTGGGTCTGACTAGCTTGCTTTTCCCTAGGACCCTGATAGGTTTGCTCTCTACATACTCCTGGAGAAACAGAATCCTTCCAAGTGCTAGACTTTGAGGGGGAGGTGGGGAAGGCTACTGGGTGGATGTGCAGGACTGAGTCAGATATTAACTGAGTGGTTTCACTGTTGATTCGCCCGGAGTGATAGAACCCAAAGAGCAAGCCAGATAGCAGGCAAAGAAGAAGAGACTGGCAGGTGGTTGCTGACACTGTGCAGAGAGAGCTATTCCAGAAACTTCTCTGGAAAAGCCAGTAGTGGGCTAGAAAGAGATCCTCTTTAGGGTGGGATAATTAGGCCAGTAAGTCTAAACTCGCCTTTGCTTTTAATTGTTCCGGGTTGTTATGTTTCTCTAAGGAACCTCACATCTAGAATCTGTGTGGAGCACTAATGCCCGTCGAGAATACTTTCTAGTTTAGCTGGAGAGTGTTAATTGTTGCATTTGTTTATTCCTACCACGATTAAGTGAGAGAATAAGAATAATAGACTTGGGTTAACGTGTGTGTATGTGTAGTACCAGATATAGCTAGACCATTCCACCACTGATTTACAACCCCCAACTCTTTTTTTAAAAAAGTAACCATAGCATCTTCTTGAATATAGTTTAGTAAATTTTAAATTTTTTTATTTAGAAGACTTTTGGAAATAAGACTGTGGAAATAAGAGCACTGTGGTAATTTGGTTGACTACTAAAATGGTGTTCAGTTTAATGAATTCACATATTTGCTAAGTCAGCACATGCTTAATAAAATTAATGCAAAAATGGCAGGATTTAGCTCTTCAGAGAAGTTTGGAAAGAGTTTGTGAGAGGAAGGATTTATTTATTTATTTATTTTTTTGGGTCCGGTCGTGGGGCCTGAACTCTGGGCCTTGGTGCTGTCCCTCAGCTCTTCAGCTCAAGGCTAGTGCTCTACCACTTGAGCCACAGTGCCACTTCCGGCTTTTTTCTTTTTGCTTATGATGGTGCTGAGGAATCGAACCCAGGGCCTCGAGCATGCAAGGCAAGCGCTCTACCACTGAGCCAGGAAGGATTTTTTAAAAAGCAAATCTCTAATATTGAAAGGGGACCAGTGATCAAGATGTACTATACTCACACGGTGATATGTTGAAATGAGACTCCTAGAATTACGTAAAATATTTTTGAAAGAAAAATTATAGCAGATATAGGCAGAAAATGAAGATTTATAGGTCATATTACTTTCAAAATGAAACAAAATGCTATTTTATACATCCGAATTAACAATATTGTTTATTCATACTAATAAATAGTATTTACTGTTTGTATGTTTGCTTGATTGGGTTTTGTTTGTATATTTGCTTGTTTGGAATTGAACCTTGGGCCTTAAGCAAGTGCTCAAACACTTTTTTTTGAATCATCAAATTTTTATTATATATATATATATATATATATTTTATTTATTTATTTATTTTTTTGCCAGTCATGGGGCCTGATCTCTGGGCCTGGGCGCTGTCCCTCAGCTCTTCAGCTCAAGGCTAGCGCTCTATCATTTGAGCCACAGTGCCACATCCAGCTCTTTCTGCTTATGTGGGGCTGAAAAATTGAACCCGGGGCCTCATGCGTGCAAGGCAAGCACTCTACCACTGAGCCACCTTCCCAGCCCCATTTTTTTTATTATTATCTTTAGTAGTTATATAAAAGACTTGCCATTTAACAAAGGAGTTTATGAATAGAATGTATCTTTAAAAATGTATTGTTATTATGAAGGTGATGTACAGAGGGTAGTCGGGTAATGAGTACATTTCTTTTTGGACAGTGTCACTCTTTCTCTTACTCTCTCCCAGTTTTTCCCTCCCATCCCCACTCACAAGATAAATAGTTCATTTTCAACATAGTCTCTACTGCTGCATTTGTTCATCCTTTGTCCCTCCATTTCTGTGCCCCCTTGCCCTTCTAAAGACATAGAAACAAACAAACAAGACAAAAAAAAGCAAAAACAAAAACAAAGAAAAAGCCTCTTATTTCCATTTCTTGGAATTTACTTTGACAAATAGTATTGTATATGATTAGAGGCATATACATATGGCAACTTTGTGTTCTACCACTAAGTGAATACAATGTATCTTTTTATTACATTTTTATTATTATTGTAAACGTGCTGTACAGATTGCAGTTATATAAGTCAGATAATGAGTACATTTCTTTTTGAATGACATCAGCTCTTCCCTCAGCTCTCTCCCAATTTTTACCTCCTGTCCCCAACCACAAGTTGTATAGCTCTTTTCAACATAGTGTCTAGTGAGTATCACTGCTGTATTTGTTCACCCTTTGTCGTCCATGTCTGCCCCCCACCTTTATCCTACCAAAGACAGATAAATGAATAACAAGACAAAAAGAAAACTAAACAAAACGGCAATGAAGTATAACAAACTTCTTATTTTCATTTCCTGGGGTTCATTTTGATAAATATTATTTTATATGATCAAAGGCACAGAGCTATTACTCCTTTGTGATCCTCTCCTAAGAATATCTTCCTTTGGTTTCAATTGATCAAAGTCACCCTTTTCAATATTCTCATCCATTCCTTACTTACCCAGCCTTTCCCCCTCATCCTTCTTAATTTTGTAGGCTATACATTGGATTTTGTCTGTAACCCTGCCCCCCACACCTCTTTTCCTATTCATCTCTATCCTTTACCCTTGACCTCACCCCACCTTACCTCTTTCCAGTACAAATTTTCTGGCATATCACTTTGCTGAAATTTGATTTGCCTTTCTAAGGAATTACAGTACTTGAGATCTCCCTCAAATCAACTGTATTTGAGCTAATACATTAGTATACACTTACACACCACCCAATGCATTTACTTCTGAGCTTGTCAGCTAAATCTAGCTTCCACATAGAAGAGGAAAAATTATTTAACATAATTTTTCCAAGTCTTTCTATTTCTTTACAAATCATTACAAATCATTCTTTCTAATGGAGGAGACAATGCCCTTATATCCAGGATACATAAGGAACTTAAAAAGCCAAAACTCAAAAAAAACAACAACCCAATTAATAAGTGGATTAATGAGTTTCTCAGAAGAAAAAGTAAAAATGGTTAGTAGACATGAAGAAATGCTCAACATCCCTGGCCATAAAGGAAACACAAAACAAGAAAAAATTGAGATTCCACATAACTCCAGTTAGAATAGCCAATATCAAAGCAACAAACAACAACAGATGCTGGTGAGGATTCAGACAAAAGGGAACCCTAACGTACTGTTGGTGAGAATGTAAACTTGTTCAACCACTCTGGAAAGCAGTGTGGCAATTCCTCAAAAAAAAAAAAAAAAAAAACAGAGAAGAAACAAAACAACAACAACAAAAAAAAACCAAAACAAAAACACTACCCTATGATTCAGCAATTCTGCTGCTGGACATTTACCCCAAAGATTTCAAACCAGGATACAGTAAAACTACCAGCACAATCATGTTTACTTTAGCACTATTCTCTATAGCCACGGTATGAAATCAGCCCAGATGCCCCTTAGTGGACAAATAGATCAAGAAAATGTGATATATATACACAATAAAATTTTACTGAGCCACTTTTGAGCCAGACTCCCAGCTCTTTTGTTTTTATTTTATTTTAGAGATAGTCTTCCTATTTTTGACTGGGGTTAGCATCTTTCCTTGATTTTCTTAATCCACTTGCATCAGCATCCCAAATAGCTGGGATTATTCTTGGTGCTACACTGACCAACTAGTTTCTTTATATCATCCATATATATATAGATAGATAGATAGATAATAGATAGATAGATAGATAGATAGATAGATAGATAATGTATATCATATATATAATATATCTTACTATCATAATGTCCACACTGTGTAAATAAACATAAATAAGAAGAGTTGATTTCTTATTTGTTATGAATTAGAATAAAAGAGTTAACCAATATAAAAATGATTAGAGGTTTTCAGAGCTCAAACACAGATTTTGGATGTGCTGCCTTAACTTCCATATTGATTTTTGTCTTGTACAGAGGAAAAATGAATGCTGTGTCTCGAGAAGTGACATCTGTGGAACTTCAGAACTGCCAGCTTATTGAGGGACTTGGTAGGTAAAGAAAGGCTGGTTGATCTTACCAAATAATTTAACTCCTTTTTTTGTTTGTTCATTTGTTGTTGTTGTTTTGCTGGTCCTGGGGCTTGAATTTAGGGCCTGGTCACTGTCTCTGAGCCTCTTTGTGCTCAAGGCTAGTGCTTTACTACTTGAGCCACAGTGCCACTTCTGGCTTTTTCTGAGTGGTTTATTGGAGATAAGTGTCTCACAGACTTTTCTGATGCCTTCAAACCTTGATCCTCAGATCTCAGCCTCCTGCTTAGCTAAGATTATAGGCATGAGCCATTGGCTCTTGGCAATTCCTTTTTAATTTTAATTTTTAGCCCTTACTGGAATGGCTTCCTTCCTCCTTTCCTTTCCTTTTCCTTCTTCCCCCCTCCCTCTCTTCCGGCTTTCCAGTGATCTTTCCTCCATCCTTCCTTCCCTCTTCCTCTTCCCAACATCCCCTTCCTCTTTTCGTCCCTCTTCCTCTTCCCCTTCCACCTGCCCTCCCTCCTTCTTTTTTTCTTTGCCTTTAAACATGTTCTTGGCTTCCACTGTTACTTCTTTCAACATTTATCAGAAAATATCAAGAGAAATTCGACTTAGTCCTTAAACTTCAAGAACCTCCCAGCCCACCTAGATGTGTTTTCAAACATTAATCTGAAATCCATAGTCAGATCTCTAAGTCCTGAGACTTTTTTCCATCATTCAAAGGCTCACTTTACTGTAGACTCAGCCTTAGTTGAAATGAGCTCTATATATCCTCCTTCATTCCCTCACCCACAGTCAGCTCTGCTAAATTTCTCCTGTAGGCAGTGCCCCATTCACTGGGGGCCTAGTTAAAAATCCAAGCACTATTTGTTTCTCTTGTATCCCTTCTGCTTCCTCCACATGAGATTCCTCTTATCAGTCTCCTTTGTGTCCCAGTAGGGGTGATCTCAATTACCGGTCATAGCCACACTGTTTGCCTGGCTCCAAATCTCCAATTTTTTTCTGACAGTGCTTCCAGAAAATAAAGTGAAAAACAAGCCACATTCTATTCACTGTCTTGGGAATGCATTCAATCACTTTCTCACTCATTGCTTATAAAATTCTCACCACCAATTCTTCCATCTCTGCTTATTGCAAATATGTCTTTCCTCTCTTCTCTCACAGTGCTCTGAAGTGCTGCTTCACCCATGTAGTCCACCACGGGCTTCACGCTTCATTCTGTCATCACTAGTGTTATCTCTCTCATTGTCAGGTTGCAAACTCCCTAGGGTAAAAGGACTGTGACTTTTGCTGCTATGTGACAAGACAGATTATTTTACAATAGAAATTTATATTATCTTTTCCTGGTTCTATATATTAAACAAACACAAAGAAGAATCCCATTTGGTTTTGGATTTCTCCTCTCAGTTTTTTCCCTCTCTCTCTCTCAATAACCTTGTCTTTGTGTTACCTACTCTTAGAGGCATTTGTGCTTCCAACGAAGAAGGGGCAGGCATCCTCTCTCTGAGCCTGAGGGATTCTAATGGGAAGGGATGGAGCATGTGGATTTCTGTGACTAGTAAGGGAGCCTGACTCAATGCCTGATGACATTCTGGGTCAGAGGAAGGAAGTTTGTCTCTTTTAGGGACATTGACTTGTGTCCTGTGTATCCTTGCCTCAGCAAAGAACTTGTACATGAGGCAAGGAAGAGGAAGAATTATTAAATTAAAGAAGTCACATAAGGTCAGCAGTGAGTATTTAAACATTCTGTTTGATTTTTAAGATCTACCACCTATATAACAGGGAAATGTAGTGTGCTGCAAGTTAATTTTCCTATCCATCTCATAGACTGGGGAGGATCAGATCATATGTAATTTGATTTGAAGAAGTTATATTCACTAGCTTGTTTACTGTTGTGGTGAAAAACATCTACACTTACTACACATCCATCTCTCAAAAGCAGTGGGTCTGCCAAATAATTTAGAGGGGTAAGACTAGCTGGCCAGTAAAGTCCAGTTCCATGTGTAACTTAACTAAACTCAAGAAACTAAAAAGTAAATCGTTGATCAATGATCTGATTATCTAGTATTTTCTTCGGTAGTGATTACCTAGTATTTTAAAGAGGATGATGAACACTTAGAAGCTAACTAGGAACAGCAGAAAAAAATAAAAATCACATTACTACTCAGGAATATTGGCATATTTACATTTTATATTTGAAGACCTAAGCAAGGTAAAGTGGTCATGATCTGGTTATCTAATATATACATATATATATTTTTTTTTGGTGGGGGGGGGGTCCGGTAGTGGGGCCTGAACTCTGGGCCTGGGCGCTGTCCCTCAGCTCTTCAGCTCAAGGCTAGCACTCTACCACTTGAGCCACAGCGCCACTTTCGGCCTTTTTTCTTTTTGCTTCTGTGGTGCTGAGGAATCGAACCAGGGCCTTATGCATGCAAGGCAAGCACTCTACCACTGAGCCACCTTCCCAGCCCTATCTAATATTTTAAAGAGAATAATTAATGCTCAGAAACAGACTAGGAGCGAAGAAAAACTTCCCATTACTTCTCATGACTATTGACATACTTACATTTTATGTTTGAAAGCTAAACAAGGTAGAGTGATCATGAGTCATTTATTGAGAGAATAATACTGATGTCTACCTAGCACTCAAAAGCTGCCTTCTCAAAGGCCTGGTGCCTGTGAGTATTCTGTTGAGTCCTTTGCAAACACCTATAGTCTTCTTATCATTGATCTATAATAAAAGTGCTGTTATCTGTGCTTTGCAAACTCACCCACAAAAGAATGAAGTTACTTAAATAATAAACCAAAAGGAGAGGTGGTGAGATTTTCATTAGGGATCTAAATGGTTTTCATTGATGCAGTTGCATTTCTTATTGTGTAACACAGCCTGTCTTGTGTAACAGTGCACTATTGAAAAACACCTTTTTTTTATGACAGAAGTTCCAGAAAAGTATTATGACAAAAGAAATCATAAAATGCAGACAGTTTGAATTTTACCAAAGAGAGGCAGACAAGGGCAAAGTAGGGTAGAAAATGAAATAAAAACAGCTAAAGATAGTATTCGCAAGGCAAAAGAACTATTAGACGGGAGAAAGTTTTATGGAAGAAATGGAGAGCCACTAGAGAACTTAAGGTTGAATATAGTTGATAGGAACAGAGCTGGAGGGATGTTATTATTTTCATTGTCTTCTAGATAAGATTTTTCAGATTAATTTCATTAGTGGAATATTTGTGTGTGGGGGTGTGTGGGTGGGTGTGTGGGTGGGTATGTGGGTGTGGGTGTGGGTGTGTAAGGAAAGAATGAAAGATGAGATATTTCTTTCTCCAGAAATCCTACCTCAGAGTTAATTTTGTATTAAGTTTATCTTTTATTCAAGTTTGTAAGGGTCAAAGATTGTTTGAACCAGGAAGTTATTTGGCTGCCCTCAGCATCTGCTCAGGGCTGTACTTGGAATGTAAATAGCTACCCTAGGGCTTATTGTGGGCAGGGCTAGCTATCTTCCCATCTTCCCTTGCATGTTTCTTTCCCATAACTCTGCATGTCTCCAAGTTAGGCTCTTAGTTTACAATGAATATTTTATTTGTTTCCTAAGCTAGCTATTGGAACCTTCTTTTTGAGATGTGATGTGATAATGAAAAATTAACTTGCAGTGAAATTCTGGGGTTATCTTTCTATCTATAAAGAATGGTTTAAGAAGTGATTACAGAGATGATGTCTGCCAAGGTACTGTAACGTTGACAGGTTAATAAGACAGATTTTTCTAGATTTGGCAGTAAGGTTTTAGTGGTAGTTGTGTGTGGACTAATAGGTGTGTGATGAGGTCTCTGAGGAGGATGTCCCGAAGCTCTTCCTCCCAGGGGTGTCTTAGTTGCTGAGTTGTGCCAAGTATATGATACACATTCAGCACAGACAACAGTGCAGAAACAGAAATACTGTGTAACCATCCATTGTGATTTTCCACTTCCAAATGCAGTGCACCCACTTCCCTGTGCTTTGGGTGAAGCCATCAAACCTACACATTGCATCTCTGAAAATGGAGTGTGTTTATTTGGATTTGTTTTGTTTTGTTTTTCTGGTAGATTTACACTGTCATAGAAGATAGGTAGATTTATTGGGTAAAGAAAGAGCCAAAGCAGAAAGCACACAACTCACGATAGTTTGTGATGTTATGCCTTGATTGATGATAGAGCTTTTGACCTGATTAACCCAATGAAAGTTGAAAATATCATAAAATGAAAATGTATTTCCTGCCAGGAACTGATGGCTCACTCCTGAAATACTAGCTCTCTCAGGAGGCTGGGATTTGAGGATTATGGTGTGCTGCCAGCCCAGGCAGGAAAGTTCTTGAGACTCTTATCTCCAATTAACCTCCTGAAAATTGAAAGTGGAGCTGTGGCTCAAGTTTGGTAAATAGAGTGCTGGGCTTGAGCAAAAAAGCTCAGGGACAGGCCCTGAGGGCACAATGCCCATGACAGACCAAAAAAAACCCAAAAGTTTCCTATACCTGGCCTACTAAACACATAACCTAGCAACCAAGTTCACTGTAGAGTTCTTCATGTTTCTTCATGGTTAAATGGTGGGCTCAGCTACAGATCACAACCATGGCCTAACATGGCAAGAGCATACCATGCAGCATAGTTTTGGTCAGAGATAAAGGTCAGAATTCAAAATCTGAACAGAGCACTGTACTGGGGTACATTGCTTTTGCCCCACAACTGGATCTATCATAAGTTAGGGATGATCTGTTCTCAGAAAATGACATTCACTTATCATAGTTTACCTTAAACAATGAGACAAAGTTAAAAAAATTGTTTATTTATTGATCCAATCAGCTTTTACAGAGAGCTTCTATGATGGAAAGGAAGATTAGAGCTAGGTATGGTGGCTCTTTAATCCCAGCTACTTAGAAGGTGGAGATCACAAGGATCATGGTTCAAGGCCATCATAGCCAGAAAATTAGCAGGACCCCCATTTCATCTAATAATTTAGGTGTGGTGGTATGTGCATATGGTCCTATCTACACACAAGGCCATAGATAGAAGGATCAGTCAGAAAGAAGCCTTGAGTAAAAATACTAGATTCCACCTGAAAAAAATAATTAAAGCAATAAGAGATACATGACCCAGAGTATAAGTCAAATGAAGCTCCACTCTATTCTTAGAGACTGTGATCTTGGCTCAATGACATGGGAGAGGGCTGAGTGGAACAGGAGGGGAAGACAAGCATTTCCTAAACAGGCAGATGGATGATTCCAGCCTGTTTCACAAGCCACTCTCAGAAGTGAAGATGATGGCTGGAATGTTGAGTGGGAGGTGGGAGCAACAGAATGGAGACAAGACCCACAATAGACAGGGTTTGGGATCTAGACCAAGGGGCCTAAGGAGTTAGATTACCAGCTAACCAGAAGAATGGGTGGAGAGGAGCAACACTAAACTTTTGGTAAGCTACTGTGGAGACTGATGAGAATGATCCAAAGCTTGAGTGATTAAGGAAAAGGGAGGCATCAAAGACAGCTCCAAGTTTCTGCTTTGGGTACTAGGGGATGAAAGTGCTAGGATTCCCTGGCATATGGAAAGTGGATTGAACTCAAATGTCCAGAGCAGCTTAAAACCTATTGACTATGAAAATGGAGAGAGGAAAAACAAGCATACTGGTGGTTATAGAAGTAGGGATGAAGAGGATGGCTTGGGCTTGATATAGACATTAGAGACTGAAGAACAATATGTACAATTGGAACCATAGGACTAAGTGAATCATGCAGAATGGATGCTCTGCCATGAGAAAGACCCAATGCCACACTGAGACTGGTGTATACTCACATTTAGCACAGAGGAAGGAAGGAGATAAAGGTTAAAGGAAACCTAGTGGAGGTGTGCAGACACAAAACAACAACAGAAAAGTAACCAAACTTTGATTTTTTTTTTTTTGCCAATCCTGGGGCTTGATCGGGGTCTGGGTACTGTTTCTGAGCTGTTTTTGCTCAAGGCTAGCACTCTATCACTTGAGCCACAGTGCCACTTCTGGCCTTTTCTGTTTATGTGGTACTGAGGAATCAAACCCAGGGCTGCATGCATACTGGGCAAACATTCTACCACTAAGCCACATTCCCAGTCCCAAACCTTTGAAGTTTTGAACTGCTTCTTTGTTTGGTTTGTTGGAATCTCCCAGTGCCTATGTTACTCCATGTGAAAAACAGCGTGAAATCTTTCAGACCATTAAGGTACAATAAATGGCTGAATCTCCTGAACCAAATACTTCCAAAATAAGAAGTTCTGGTTAATTTTGTTTTTATCATTACTAGTTGGGGACTAATTTCAACCTTCAATATAGTGAATAAAAAACAAACCCAAAACTTTCTCTACTCTTACGTTTCCAGTGCCTATTGCTAAATATCCTGATGAGTTACATTTATATTTTCTTTGTCTTTCTCCCACTTCTCTACATTTTTCCCTGTCATTGTCCAATTGCCCAGTGACATTCTAGCAAACCCCATTTCCCCAGGTAACCATTTTCTCACATGTGCCAAATGTTGTGGCTCTATAACCAACCACACCACAATTAATAACTTAAAAAAAAACAAGGCCAAATATGGTGGCACAAATCTACAATCCCATCATTCAAGAGATTGAAATAAGGAGATATGAATTCAAGGCCCAGCTTGAGCTGCAGAGCCAGACACTCTGTTGAAAACAAATAAACAACAACAAGAATAGTAGTTATTTTGTTTATGGCTTTGAAATTGTAGCAAGACTTGGAGACAGGTCACCTGTTCCATTTGAATTCATGAAAGTTACTTAAAGCCTGAGAAGTAAAATTATCTGGGCCTGTTAGCATCTCTGTCTACATTCTCTGCAACTTTAAAATCAATTGATTTCTTGTATTTCCTTTCCAGACTTGGAGAAACAGATAGAGACAGAAATAGAGACAGAGACAGGGAGAGAGCACATTCAGGAGAAACTATGTGTATAACACTTAGCGTTGGATGTTACTTGGCATGGCATTCACCTCATTCTATTTGTCAAGGTAACACAAGAACCTTTACAAAGGTTTATCCAGTTGTAAAGAGAAATGGAATGGAAACTGTGAACATCCAGTAAAAAGAATGTGAGACTGTGGTACATGTTGTTCCTGATATTTGCAGAAGGAAATTCACCACAGTAGATAATCATGGCTCTTACTATCAGTGTTGCTTACTTGGCCAAGTGACTTATCTCCCTTCAAGAAGACATGTCACCCTTTTGTTCTCAGTCAAACTTTAATTAGATAAACCTTTCCAACACACACTGGGTCAATGGGAAAAGGTCTGATTAAAGTCTTCCAAATTCATTTATACATGTAGTTCATCTTAAGAATTATTGCCTTTATAATAGAGAAGAATTACTCAATGATTCCCTAATTTAAATGCATAATGATAAGTATTAAGGCCATGGCAAGCTGAAAGTGGAAGAAGGATTTGGAGAAAGGCCTATAAGAAGACTTCACAATCATGACATTTTGAATGTTATCTATCATTCTGTGCAACAGCCTACTATGAGGATTAATATTTAATCTCTCAGAACATGCTCTGGAATTTGTTAATGAATAAACCCAAGATATAGATTTGTGATATAGTTACTTAGCTATTTCTCTGAAAAAAATGGAGATCTAAAAAAGAATATAGTATTTAGTCTGTGGGATTCCTGAAAATGAATAGTTTCTTAAGTAGTTGAAAAAGTCAACATAGTTTCAAAAAAGAAGTTTTGACTATTTTGACCTCCATGTATGCATCATTCTGATATTTTGTTTTGCAGAAAATGGCTCTGAAGATATTGACATACTTCCTAGTGGGCTGGCTTTTATCTCCACTGTGAGTATTTCCCAATCTGTTTTGATGCTCCTGTCAATAGCCATATAGACAGTGCATTAATGTTGCCAGGGAGGGCTTCCAGGTGGACCCCTACATTTCATTCCACCTCTGGGTCAGACAAGTCAACTAAAAAGGCTCAAACAGGAATCTGAAGGGCTAATTAGAACACCACAGGAATGCCTAGCCTTGACTGCCCCATGGTGGGTTGCTTCCTGTGGTCAGCTCCACACTGGCAGAGTCTGAACAAATGTATATTGATTTGCATTTGATTTCCAGGCTGGTCTCCAGAGCTATCTTGTTGTTCATCTTCAGCATTGCCCTATTGGACTGGGTAGGCATCTTCTCAATACCTAGTATTCTTGCCATGCTTCCCTGTGCTTAGAGCTATGTACATATTAGTAGATTGAATGTGAACCATGCCACTGGGTTCAAAACCCTGAGAACGTTCTATCTTGAGCTGTTTATCATTCCTTCCATTTCTTTTTAAAGAGCTAGAAAATAATCTGGATTTTGTTCTCACAATCCCATTTACAAATTTGGGATGGGAGGTAATCAGTAAACTATACCAAGGACTCACAAGCAATAAACAGACAGCTGTGTGTTTATAAAATGATGGAAATTGTCATACCTATTTTTAAATTAGATGCCCATTGGGGTTTGGTATAAGACTTTCACAAAGTCTACTTCGACAAAGTAGATTTATAATGTTTTTAGTATAAGTGAATTTTTGATGTTAGAATTTTCAGATCTAATATTCCATTTTTGGCCAGTAAAACTCTATCGAGAATATGTTTTAAAATCAATGTATTTTTGGCCAAAAAAGTGATCTCAGTTTCCAAGTTTTTAAAATATACACAGTAGAATACAGTGAAGATCTCATCTTATTTTATTTTATTATGCATTTATTTATTTGTCAGTAATGGGGCTTGAACTTTGGGCCTGGGTACTGTCCCTCAGCTCTTCAGCTCAAGGCCAGTGCTTTACCACTTGAGCTACAGTGACACTTCTGGTTTTCTGGTGGTTAATTGGAGATAAGAGTCTCAAAGACTTTCCTGCCCAGGCTTGCTTTGAACCATGATCCTCAGGTGTGAACCACTTGCACCTAGCTTCATCTGTATTTTAGTTGTAGTGTGTATGGGTTGGGTTTTATTTCCTAGAGAAAAATGAACCAAGAAATCAGGAGAAAGAAGTTAATATGAGAACAGAACAGGGCTACTTCTTCCTTGGGAAAAGGGGGGAAAGTAGGATAGGCTAAGAGATTTAAGATGGATACCTGGAGAAATACAATAGATTACATATGAGAATCAAAAATAGCTTGGGCTGTGGCTCAAGTGGTAGAGCACTTACCTAATGGACATGAGCTAAAACCCCAGTAATGATGAAAGAGAGAGAGAGAGAGACAGACAGACAGACAGACACAGAGAGACAGAGACAGAGAGACAGAGACAGAGAGAGACAGACAGACAGAAGGTAAGAGACAGAGAGATAGAGAGAGACTGAAACAGAGACACAGAGAGACAAAAATTTGAGAGACAGAGAAACAAAGATGGAATTGAATGTCTAAGGTTGGAATGACGTCTTCATAGTAGTTTTTCAGTACAATTTTAGATGTGCCCTTCAAAAGAGCTGACCAGGGTAAAGGGAAGGATAAAACATCCGACAAAATCGAAGGCATGGAGTCCTTAGAGATAGTATGTTACTTGGTGGAGACAGAATCTGGTCTGGTAACAGAAATGATGGCCTGTGGGTTCTCCTCCAGGTCTGGTAACTAAGGAGAAGTAAGAGTGACCAGCTCCACTCCAATGGCCTCAGAGGTCTACTGCCCCAGGCAAAGGCTAAGGCACAAAGTTTGGACATAGGAGGACTGATTGAAGCAAAGCCTGATGATGTAAACAAGGAAGTTCAAAGAATATGGACTATGTACTGTGTGGAGTCAGTGGAAGGAGAGAGGGAGAAGAGAAAAAGAGGAGAGAGAACAGGCACAAGCAGGAAGAGAAACAGAAAGAGAAGCTAGAGTCGAGAGGAAAGGACATAAACTGATATTAATGAAGCTAAGAGTTCAAAAGATGACAGGGAAAGGACTTGAGCAGGAAACAGACTCTTTTGGCCCTGGTGTAGAATAAACCACCCCAGGGTTTGAGACAATAAACTGAGATGTAGCAAATGCATCCAGCTGCTATTGCTGGTGGAGGGAAAGCAGGTCCTACTAGTAGAAAGGACCGCTGTCTAATTTACTAGAGTGAACTTTGTGTAATATTTAAGAAAAGGAAATTCATATCCGATTTTTCAGACATACCTGTATGGACTAAGGCAGTCCATACTGCTTTTTTTTTTTTTACTATGATTGACACAATAAAAAATAATACTGTTAACCATGACACTGACACAATAAAGGTATCAGTTAATTCTTGTCTAGTTAAGTAGAATTAGTAAATATGCCATTATATAAGATAATTGGCATAGAGTACAGGGAAGGGAAGAAGAAAATGAAAGCATATATTCCTTCTCTATACTTTGAGAAAAGGAAGTTATATCTGTGATCATACAAAATCATATTTATCCAAATGAATTCCAGGAAATGGAAACGGCCTTTTTCTCTCTCTTTGTTGCTGTATTTGGTTTCTTTATTTTATTTTATTTTTTTATTGTGAGAATACCGTACAGAGGAGTTACAATTACATGGGCAAGGTAATAAGTACCTTATTAAGCATTGTTGCCTCCTCTTTGTTTCCCCTTCCCATCCTTTCCCATACTCCCTCCTTCCCCCCACCCAATTCTCCGCCCACCCCCCACCAAAGTTGTAAAGTTCATTTTTCTACATAACGACTTGTACATCTCATTGTTGCAATGGGTCCACCTGTATCCCTAGTTAAATGATTTGTTTTTGCCCTTCCCCTCCACAAATTATACCAACATCAAATACAGTGAAAGCAGGGGTTATACCATGGGGGAGGGACATACAATGCAACAAAGAAATAATCTTATAAATGTGTTAGAAACAATTGCATGAAAGGAAAAAAAAACCAAAAAACCCATTTGAATACTTATCTTGGGGTTCATTCCACTAACACCAACTTATCTGACCTATTGTGCTTGACTCAGACATACTAGTTATTGCAAATAAGGGAAACCATGGGACCTGTTACTTTGAACCTGGCTTACTTCACTTAATATAATTTTTTCCAAGTCTTTCCATTTCCTAACAAATGGGGCAATGCCATTCTTTCTGATGGAGGCATAGAATTCCATTGTGTATATATACCACATTTTCTTGATCCATTCATCTACTGAGTGGCATCTGGGTTGGTTCCATATCTTAGCTATGGTAAATGATGTTGCAATAAACATAGTCATGCTGGTAGCTTTAGTGTAGTCTTGTTTGTGATAATTTGGGTAAATGCCCAAAAGTGGGATTGCTGGGTCATAGAGGAGCTCTATGTGTAGTCTTTTGAAGAACCTCCATAGTGCTTTCCAAAGTGGTTGAACAAGTTTACACTCCCACCAACAATGCAGTAAGGTTGCCTTCTGTCCTCATCCCCTCCAGCATCTGTTGTTATTAGAGTTCTTGATTATAGCCATTCTAATTGGAGTGAGGTGGTATCTCAGTGTTGTTTTGATTTACATTTCTTTTATGTCTATAGAGGTTGAGCATTTCTTCAGGTGTCTATTGGCCATCCTTCTTTCCTCTTCAGAGAAGTTTCTCTTTAAGTCTTTAGTCCACTTATTTATTGGGCAGTTGTTTCTTTGATGATTTGTTGTTGGGGGATTTAATTTTTTTAAGTTCCAGGTATAATTTA